CTATCTATCTCCATCTGCATCCATTTCAGAAACCCAAACAAATTGATTTGGAGCTCGCCGCGGAGGTTGATGCGCACGGTGGTTCATCGCGGAGGAGGGTTTGGCTTCACCGGTGGTGAAAACGGCGATGCGAAGAATGTGGGCCTGATTGCTAGTCATCTCTTTCCCCCGGCAATAAACCCACAATAGCTTCTCCTGAGGCCCACTTGACCTAAGTAAGCGTGCACATGTAACGCACGTCTCTGCCATGGTATTGTAAGATGACGACCCCAGAAGCGGTATCAATTGAAAACATTAACATGCGCACAAGGAGCGAGCGTTGGTTGTGTCCACATCGGACTGGCTACGAGACAAAAACAAAGATGAAAAAACGACGATGAAAGCCAGATAACACCTCACTTTCCCTTCTTCACGAAGCCATGTCTTCTCCTACCCCACGCCTTTTCTTTCTCTCCCAAAAAATAGCATCACACAAGCTAGGGTTGCCGCCGCCACCGCTGCCGCGCGCATCCCAGCTCCTCCAGCGCCCGCCACCGGAGAAGGCGCCCTCCTCTCCCTCGGCGGTTGCCACTCTGGCTGCGGTGGCGCAGGCACATGGACCGGGCCCGGCTCCAGCCGCGGCAACGCAAGGGGAGAAAGCGAACCCACGCCGAACGGGGTGCTGATGGTCGACCTGCTGGGGGCGCCGGGAACGCGCTGGGGGCGTGGGACCTGCCTCACACAGGCGCTGCTCGCAGCAGCTGCCATGGCCTCCACCGTCCGGTGCGTCCTCCCCTCCCACTCCACACCCCCCACCCTCTCTCTCTCTCTGGGTCTCGATCCATCTCCCCTATGCTCCGAAAGCAGATCCATTTCTTCCTCAAATTTTGGAACAGACATATTATTCTGTGCGAGGTGGGATTTTCTCGTTTTCAGTTACTCTTCAGCGATTTTCATATGTATGTGCTTCACGGAGCAGGAAATATGGGTCAAGTGAAATGAAATTGTGATACTTTGGTATGAATTTGCATAGGTGGTATTTGATTTTTAAATGCAGAAACAAAGGCATCTAACTGCAATCTCTGCTTCAGGAGCAAGACCTAAGATTAGAGGCCTGATAGGGTTTCCTGTGGAATGTTGTTCTGCAGGGGCTATGGATGTACGATGTGGACAAATACATTGTCTGGCTGGAGGTGGATTCTGAAGCAGCACTGCTACTTCAAGGATGAGTCTGTGGCATTTGCCCACAGTTCAGATGGATCTGCCATAAGGTATCAATAAAATTAGTTGCAACACTCCATGAAATTCATGTTGTTAAGCATCACAGAAACAGAAACATCTATAGTTTTGTGGTGCCTGGGCTTTTACTATTGGAAGCAGGGTACTCCATGTGGTTCTTTGCCCCCATCTATGCTTTATTGATCTTTATATGCATTGAGTAAAATTTCTTTGTTTTTGACTGATGGTTCATTGATATTAAGTGAAATATGGTATTGCCCACGTACATATGTAATCAAGAAACATGCTTGTGTTCTCATGCGTTACCCCAAAACATTAGTTAGGTGACTGTCTGAGAATACTTGATGCCCAAAATATATGGATAATGCTATTCTATGTGTATTGTGTCCATGTGCCAGTTGAATCATCTCATATTGCTTTGAAGCTGCTGCCTAAGTATCGAGAGATTGATTCTCTTTGTTCCAGCTGTTCTTGTTTTTAGCAGACAAATGTGGGAGAATGTACCAATTGAATATATTGGTTCTTGGGTTTATTATTAGAGCCCTTTATCTGCATATATACATAGGACGCGACATCAAATTTAGTTTTGCTTGTCTACACTTTAGTTATTTTTTTTCTTGGAACTTAGGAACCTAAGGTTTTGGTCGTTTCTTGTTTCCTGATAGTACAAGCATGTTTCGCAAGGCTTCTTGATAAATGTCAAACTTGAAGGCGTATATTGGGTATGCTAGTAATTATTATCTAGGTATGCTGCTAATTATTGTTGGATGGATGTGAAATTTCTCTCCGTTCGTCTCTCCCGGTTGTGCTGCAGGTACTACCGTTTCTTGATTCTGTCTCAAGAAAACAACCACAACCTCTTTTGATTGATTCCCAATTTTGTGTATATATAGCTATAAATATTTCTTGTTATGATTATTTGTTTTGCGTTCTTGATTATTTGATTTGTGTTCTTAATTGGGACGAGCTAGGAGGAACAAACACTATTTAGCTTCTGGATCTTCGTTTCGAATGACTCGATGTGGCCTTTGGCGATGGTCCTGCTAGATAGTTCATCGATGGAAGTAACAAGCAGTCCCAAGGCATAGATAAGCTCCTTTGTTTGATATATTTTAGCTCCGTCCAGCAGGATGGGCAACTGGCTTCTCTTCAATTATTTATATCTATCTGTTTTATTGTAGGTTTCACTAAATTTGATTTTCAGTTTTGTCTACATTGAGTTGTTTGTTGTTTGAATATTTTATCAAGTAGAACCTGGCTTCTCATGGACCTCCCGTCATTTTCCTAAACAATAGTTAGTATACTATACACATGAACTACAGTTACGGAGATCTGAACTAGAAATTGCCCTATGGTGTATTAACTCTTAAATATCGTGCACAATCATGTACATTAAATGTTTGGATAAGAAGTATGATGTTCTTGATTAACATAGTTTACTGCAGCAAATACTTTGCATGTGCCTCCAAAGTTCTCTTGCTTGCCGCTTCTGTTGCATCCTTCTGGCAACTTGACAGTAAACTGTTGGAGGTGATATATGGTTGTCCCTTCCATTGCCTGGTTTGCTACCAATGCTCATTGATTTTTTGCATTTCTTCTATGCCTAAAGTCGTCCAGCAGTTTTGATATGTAGTTGCTTCTTCTGCCAATGTTATTCTGGCATTAGCGAACTGCTCGCCTATAATTTTTACTGTGCAAATAAATAAACGTGCATAATTTGTATTTCATCATCTACAATTCTGGGTTATTTTATATTCTTGGTTGAGTTCTACTTTATTAGCCAAGAAATTATCTATTTGATTTGCCCGAATACACAGTAAGGCCTACTCCTTCTCTTTTATTGGAGCCATAGTTTGATTGAACCATAATGAGGTTACAAGTAATTTCTATTTTGACATCTATACATTTTATTTGCTTCGTATTCTTGATTGAGACGAGCGAGGAGGAACATTGACTATTTAGCTAGGCAATCACATCTAAGACAAAACGTCCACAGTTGTTGTATGAGTCAAAGCTATACAGAATACTTCCAAGGAGGAAGCAATATACGTGTTTTCTTTTCGCTTCCTTGCTCTTGCTTAGTCCATCATTCTCTTTTATCCACAAAGTAATCAACTGACATTCCCTTTTGTTTGGCAGCTGGAATTCAAAATTTCATGTGCTTTGGTTAGATGATGATTACAACGTGGCCAGGCCTTGATGATTTTTTAGGTTTTGTAACAGGAAGTCGTCTCTAAAAAGTAAAAATTGTATCATGCTTGCTGATCAAATGGTATGTTGTACGATTAAAACTTAATATTCCCTTGGCTTCATTACTTTGGTCCAGCTTCGTTTTAATCTCTTCCATTTCATCATGTGGACTTTAAGTGAATTCCTTTTTGTTAGATCAATCATGTTGAGTTCGTGCATTCCATTGATCTAACACGATGAGAATATAGAGATATGTTGACACACCAGCACATTCCGTTGTCATACAGGTAAATATTATTACCCCTTATTGATATACTTGATTGTTCGCTGTGTACTGCTTTATTCGCTACCTGTACCTAGACTTGAGGCATGTTGTGTCATTTGTTCCTTGTAAACTTTTCTTAGCTTCATATATTTGTCTGTTTACGTATCATAATTTGTTTTTGCATTTCTCTGTAGAACAAAGCTAAGGGGATGATACATAATCTCCTAGATATGTGCTGATGTACTCCTTACGAGGAAGTTGTTGAACATTACCACACGTAATGTGGTGGCTGCTGCGACTCGTGGTGCTTTGAGTGCACAACCTTCGCCTGCTCTCCCTGGCGTCTACAGCGACGACCATTGCTTCTTCCGTGATGCCCTCGAATGGACATGGGCTGCATCGAGGACTACTACGATGGTGAGCAGAGCGAGTATGACCTGGAGAGCCTCGACGATGGCACGGATGAGCAGCTGCTTTGTGCCGGCAAGTCTTGTGACTGCAATTGAACGACATGACGGAGAGG